CTGTATCGCTTTGGCATAAGTCTGTCTACTTATTGTTTGGCTAGCTAATGATGAATAATTTAGGGTCGAATGGGTACATAAACTGCTAAAACCTATCTGCTTAGACTTGACAGACGTTTCCTAAGTAACACAGTTTTTTTTCTTTGTTACTAAAAGTTGTGTACTGTGTAGGTATGCTTATTGTGGTATGTTTATCAATGTGTATTTCAAGTTAAATAAATGCTCACCAGTGGAACTACTTTCATCAAGCTCTAAAGCTCACACGCATAATTTCACGTTATTCACAGATGGAGCTGCTGCAAAACTTTTACGAAACGACGCTGGAAGCCCTGAAGGATGCCAAGAACGACCGCCTCTGGTTCAAAACCAACACCAAACTGGGCAAGCTCTACTTCGACCGCGGGGATTACGCGAAACTTCAGAAGATTCTGAACAGCTTCACCTCTCCTGCCAGGTCGGTTTTGTTTTGCTATTTTTCCCTTTTAGAAACTGGATGCCGCTGCAGCCTTTTCGGCCAGCTACTGCTCGGGGGCAGACAGTATTTGGGGGAGTATTCGATCAGTCACGGGAACTAACGATCAGCCAGACAGTGGCACAGTTTGATCTGTGTGTGTGTGTTTTTTGTGTGTGTTTTTTTTAAATCATTTGCTAAAATGTCGCATGCTTTCACTTCATGTACCGGAGCAGCCTTCTACACGCCCCGGGCCGAGAAATCTGGAGTGCTAGCGTGCACGCTAGTGCCACCTGGATTCGATGAAAGAAATCGTACGGTCAACGTTTTACCACTTGGCGGATGCCATTTGCTGAACCACTGCTGTGTATGCTTTACAGTGTACTGTATCCTAACGACACATTGCCCAGACGGGCAAAACTTTTAAAAATGAACCTTTCATTGAGTAATCCAATGATCTTGCAGTTCCCAAGATGCATTGCGGTGATTGCGCACATCTTTTATCGTTATCTGCTCATGCAAATGAGCCGCCTGTTGCTGACATTCCCGGGCGCCTTTGTGCTCAGACCGACTCTGGTGAGGACGACATGAAGAAGGGGACCCAGCTGCTGGAGATCTACGCGCTGGAGATCCAGATGTACACGGCACAGAAGAACAACAAGAAGCTAAAGAAGCTCTACGAGCAGTCGCTGCACATCAAGTCAGCCATCCCGCACCCGCTCATCATGGGCGTCATCAGAGGGGTGTGCTGACGGGAAGGATGATTATGGTGAATATGGTATGTTTATAATGGGGAATGGCCTGCCTGGGTAGATCTGGGTAGTTCTTAAGATCATGTATAATTGTAAACCTACGACTGACACTGTCTCGTGGCAGCTGCTCGGGGAAAAGTTTCACTCTGTGTACGAGTATAATGCTCCAGATACAGCCTTTCATCTCAAGGCGGTAGCACTATCTTGCTCACATTGCTACTTGTATAGAACGTGTTAGGTGAATACCAATGGTTAGACAAAAGCAAATTGTGTTAATGTATGCGATCCCTGATTTTCTGTGTCCAGAGTGCGGCGGGAAGATGCATCTGCGGGAGGGAGAGTTTGAGAAGGCGCACACAGACTTCTTCGAGGCGTTCAAGAATTACGACGAGTCCGGCAGCCCACGACGCACCATGCTCAAATACCTGGTGCTGGCCAACATGTAAGAAAGCGGGCGTCAGGGCCTCGGGGCTTCTGCGATTGGTCCGTTTATTTGACAATTTAGCACGTTTTCTCTCTTCTTGTTCCTCTTTATCGATAAAAGGTCATTCATTGACCTGTTATGCCAAATTTTATATGCGGTTCGAAATTTGCATTTAGCAATTAATTAGAATTGGGATTTTTACCCTTTCTGTCTCACCGACTATTTATGGCATGACATATTGCCATATATCATGCACTTGTATAACTTTGGATGAGTTTTTTGCACTGTTTGTTCGGAACTCATGATTAACTCTACACCATTGTGTATGTTTTCAGGCTGATGAAGTCGGACATCAACCCGTTCGACTCGCAGGAGGCCAAGCCGTACAAAAATGACCCCGAGATCCTGGCGATGACCAACCTCGTCATGGCCTACCAAAACAACGACATCAACGAGTTCGAGAAGATCCTCAAGAACAACCGTAAAACATCATGGACGACCTCTTTATTCGTGAACATATCGAAGGTGAGGGGATTGAATGTTGGCAAGAGGCAAGAGCAGTGTGGCAACTAATGACTGGCTCGATAAGTTATGCTCTCTTAGTCGTAGTATTACAAAGTTCCTGCATATCTGGAAAGTGTTTTATAAAGTGATCATGAACTTACTTACACAAAACATTTAGGTTGGTATATGGCACTGAAGGTGGCAAGCCCCGATTAAAATTTATGGTACATTTTCCCACTCCCTTGATAAGCGTGCCTGCAGTAAATATAACTGTCCTGTTGTACTAACAGTATAAGAACATATCCACCACATATTTGACGATTGTAGAAGACATTGCACCGCTGCTCATTTTTACATTCTCTCCCGTCAGACCTCCTGCGGAATATCCGAACCCAGGTGCTGGTCAAGCTGATCAAGCCGTACACGCGCATCCAGATCCCGTCCATCTCGAAGGAGCTCAACATCGACGTCACAGAGGTGGAGAACCTGCTGGTCTCCTGCATCCTCGACAAGTGAGTTTTGACGTGCATGCTTGGCAGGCTGGTCCTCTAAGGCATGCCGCTTACGTTAGGGCAAGTCAGCTTAATGTCGTAGTTTGCGATCCGGTGTTTTTTTTAGATAAGTTTATATGTAAACCGAAAGGCATTGATAGTTCGATATCTTTGAAGTGTTGGTCAGGAAATTGAAGTCGTACTTGATCCGGTGATTGAATGCTTTTTACGACATTTGTATACGATGCTCATTATTTCGCTCTATTTTGACCAAATAAATAAAAACTAAGCTGATAAACTCCTGTAACCACTGAGCATCGCCAGCCTCGTCTAGCTCCGTGACTTCTTCGAACACAGCCCCCCCCCCCCTCCTTCCCTCTCACTGCCCGTATGACCCGGAACTGACCCGCGCCCCTCCCCTGTCACCCCTGCAGCACGATAGCGGGCAGCATCGACCAGGTGAACCAGGTGCTGGAGCTGACCCGTGAGCCGCGCGAGGCGCGCCGCTACCACGTGGTGGACCTGTGGGCGCGGCAGCTCTCCTCGCTTCACGCCACCGTCATCAACCGGATGATGTAGAGCGCGGGTGAGCTGCCCACGGCCAACTTCGGCCTCCGGGAGCACGAGCCGGAGCCGCTGCTGCGCGCCCGCAGAGACGTCGAGCGCGTGCAGATGCTGCATGGGCTCCGAGACGCCGAGAGCGAGAGAGATAGGAGGAAAGTGGGTAAGGTGCTGCGGTCGCCCGCCTCCGCTGCCGCCGGAAAGTAAGTGCGGACGGTTACGGCAGTGTGATGGACGCTGGTGGAAGGTGGTCACCGTGCTCGCTGCCGTTCTCCCATGTGTGGTGAACCTCGAACGGTGGGCGGGCGCTGTGAGTACCGTGCCCGAAGCCCCGGCGAGTGTGCCACTTACCTCTGCCCAGAGCTGCTCGACAGTGTGGCGCCCTCTGATGTCTCCCGTGTGCGCTGTTCAAGATCCCGGTGAGTGCGTGTGTTTGGAACCGCTGCCTCAGATGACGTCTTTGCCTCGTATGATGTCATGCCGCCGCGGGAAGCCTGTGATAGTGTGAGCCGGTACAGGAATGTCCCGACAGCTGGGTACTCGTGTGCCGATAGTAACCCGAACTGCTGCGAAAGGAGACTGGGGTGAGCGGGCGGTCAGGTCACAGTGTCCGAACCAGGATGCTGCTTGTTTGTTCTCACATTGGGAAGAAGTCGAGCCGACCTTCTGAGAGACAATACGGATTATGCTGCCGATAGTGTGGGCAGTAACGCCTGCATTTCATGTGTCCCGATACGAATGGAAAGCAATCATTTTGTGGTTTGTGTATTTGTGTGTATATACATATTTTTACAAAACGATTTTTCTGTTTGATGCACTTATGTCTGGGGTTGTATATGGAATCAAGTTATTTAAACGTGCAGAGACGAACAGGCCGACAGGTAAAGGCCGAAACGGGGACAGAGGAATCGGCAGCCGCTCAGTGCGCGATGCCGTGAGCAGTGCACACTTGTTGCACTTGGCGCTCTCGTGGTGGGTGGGACGGTGCACCTCGGTGTTCTGTCGTGGGCAGTGTTCCGCTCAATTACCCAACAGGTCTGTAAGGTGATGTTAGTGAGCCGTGTCTGGAGAGCAATTCACTGGACCTGACGCACTTGAAAACTGCTTGAAAACATTTTTTATGATTACATGGCCTCAGGACTTTTTAATAGTAATTTGGCATGATGCACGCGTAAAATGCCTATGCACAGACATTTTATACATCATTGTTAGGAACACTTCAGTAAGCAATGCGAAGCTAAAGGCTCATAATGGTGGCGAATCAGTAAAAATAGCCACGTTCCTGATGAAAAATGCGTACGAAACGCTGTCTATTATCGTGAAGAAAATTTTCAAATCAGGGATTACCGTCGAGTGATTTGAAGGGACTAACGTCACATTCACACTCACTTGATCCATGAACTTAGATTAATGCAATAATATTTCGGTGCCAAAATCATCCATTTTTCACAAGCTTCAATGTATTTCATCATGCTCCCTTGCTCATCTATTTCCCCCTCTCATGCATCCATCCTGCTGACAGGCAACAATCGCACACAATAGTAAATCTCGCTGACAGTTAACCTCTGCCTGCTCCATAAGCTGTGCTTCTGTCGCACATACATCACGGTACAAGGCCGCACTCGGCATGTCAGGTGTATCTCCACAAAGGGTCTCAGTCTGTACCGTATACTGCATGTCACCGAGGACAGCCCACCGATGACGAACTGAACGCCCGTGATCCCGCCTCGACAGCTGCGGCCGGGGCACGGAGCGGCCGACCCGACCGGCGCCGGGCACTCGGCACTCGGCACTCAGAGGCGCGGAGAGACGGCACAATGGGACGACAGGAGACAGCAGTGGGTGAGTTCAAGTGCCCGTCCGCCGGAACGGAGACTGCCGCGTCAAAGGAGATCGCAGACTCATCTCTGTGTGAAAGCCTGACTCTCCCGGCGACCGATTTGGAACGAGGGTTGTCATTAGTTCGCTCTCAATCCAGGGACACCCATGTCCCACGGTCTAATCTGAATAGTTTGAAGTAGGAAACGCACGGGAGTTCGCTTAGGCGTCACGTCCGGTTCACTGCACGCTCATGCGTAGTTTGAACTGAACAACTAGCTCTCATGTTTCCACCCGGACGCACATGACGCATGTCGGCCGGTGGAATTGCCGACTTACTTGGAGGTTCGGTGTGCCGATGCGTCCCCAAAGCCGGTCTCGAGCACTCTGTGTATTTTAATTCACGCACGCTTTATATACAGAATCTTGCACGCACAGCGCGATCATATAAGGAGCGTCATGCGGCAAGCGCATAAGCTTATTCGAGGAACGACGCGGAAACCTCTGCAGAACCGGTCAGTCGTTGAATTAATAACCCGGATCTGCAGCGGGCCGCACGCACCTGAACAAGGCCATACGCGCTTGTAGCAATAGTCCTTTGAGCAAAGCCTTGCGACACGCAGTCTCACTCTGTAATAAAAGGAACAATGACGGACGAAATTTGGAAATGCGTTAATGAATATGATTCTGCGTTTTAAGCACTGGATCTGCGCCGTTTCCATTGCACAGTAGCAGAGGCGTTATGAAGTTCTGACTACCGATGCATTCGTGGGCACTTTTCTCCTCGCAAAGTATTTGAGCATGGATAAAATTGCGTCGCGGGGCACTGTCAGCAGAGGGAGCGTCATTACCTATCTGTACAGGGCGCGGTGATAGGCAATCTTTTGTGATCGAACCGGCGGATTGCGGCATAACTTATTTACTGGTGTGTACATGTGCTAATGTTTGTGCAAATCAAAACTACTTCCATTGTCCATTGAGCCATCTGACGTGCGAGTATGAAAAGCCCCAGTGTACTGTGGATTACTCGTGAATACACATCTGTATCTGTATCTGTATCTGCAGTCTGCACGGCGCCGTTTACTTAGCGGGAAGACATATTTCCAGAGAGCGGCTTGTCATCTAACAGACGTGCATCCTCTCCATCCTATGCGCACCCAGGGTGCTAGTGACGCCCATGGCACGTTTGCCGTCTCCTTTCATCGTCAGTTCCGCACATCCGCCACTCGAGTGAGTATTGGTTCCGGGGCACCGAGCAGTGAGCAGTTTTTCCGGCCGTCACGGCCCCCTGCTGAGTCAGTGCGGACTGCGGTACGAGACCGCACATAAACCCCGCGGGGCACCCAGGAGCCCTGCTCAGCTCACGGTGCTCGCTCGGCGTGGACTGTGCCCTCCGGCAGTATAGAGCGGTCCCCTGACCCCGTGAGTCGCACCCACCGCTGAGATGTGGCCCCGTCTGACAGCTGTGGCGCTGGTCCTGGCCCTCCTGGCTGGCGCTCAGGCCGAGGTGGCCACCGTAGTCAGCAGCCCTCTCTCGATCGCAGCCTTCAATGTGCAGCGCTTCGGACTGACCAAGATGGACAAACCGGAGGTCATGGAGCTACTGACCCGGGTGAGTGCATTACTCCTGAAAGGTTGGAGCATAGACCTCTGTGGGCGTTCAGAGGTAGTGGACTATGACTGCAGTTGCATAAAGTTTGAATTCATTACGTTTAATTTGTTTCGCCGTTATAACTTTAGTTGAAGAAAGGTGAACTTCCTCATGCCTTTCTGTTTCTTCCATCATTATTCACTATTCGCTATCCCCTTCCACAGATCCTGTCGCAGTATGACATCACGCTGGTGCAGGAGATTGTCGACATCTCGGAGACGGCCATCCACAACCTGACGGAGCGCGTGGCCGAAACACCGGGCTGCCCTACCGGGTCAGCCTCTCGCCCAGGGTCGGCCGCAACTCGTACGAGCAGTACGGCTACGTCTATAGGTGAGGGTTGATCGAGGTGGGCCGTACTTCGTACGAGCAGTACGGCTACGTCTATAGGTGAGAGCTGAACAGGGTCGGTCGCAACTATACGAACAATGCGGATACGTTTTTCATGGTCTTCTTAAATCTCATAGGGTCCTGTGTATCATGATCACTGAAGCGATTAGTAAATATGGTAAATATCTCATTTCTGGCCGTTTCCTTCACCTGCTTGACTCTCCGTCCATGAAAGCCGATACTTGTGACACCATTTGACCTGAGCCCGTCTCGGCCTCCCTGCCTCAGGTCGGACCGAGTGCGAGTCGTGTCGGAACAGATGTACCCCGACGCCACCGACGTGTTCGCCAGGGAGCCGTACATCGTCACCTTCGACGTGGATGACGTCAGTGAGTGCTGAACGTTTTCACTTAGAAATAGCCATGAAGACAGTCCTTTTCCGCCATTTTCAGAGGGCCTAGCCAATATATCGGGCATTGACGAGGATATTTAGGTATATTTACAATGAACTGGTAAATTTAGTTAGAAGTAAAACTTCGTTCTTGGGCTTGATTACGATAGCTTGGGCATTAAAACGATGGATTAATTAACTAGTCATCCGATTGATCATATTTCAGCGCAATTGTTATACCGTTTTCGGTCGTATTTCAGGGCACTTGTCGCGGCTCACTCTGGTCGGTATCCACACTCAGCCGAGTAAGGCTCCCGAGGAGATTGACGCTCTATCGGACGTGCTCGACTACGTGGAGTCGCAGCTGGGGGCACAGAACGTGGTGCTGCTGGGTGACTTCAACGCCGGCTGCAGCTACGTCACGGGCGCCGAGTGGGCCGTGAACCGGCTGAAGGGCCGCGGGGACGTGACCTGGGCCATCGCCGACTACACGGACACCACTGTGCACGCAACCAACTGCGCCTACGACCGGTGAGAGACGGCGGGGCCGATAAGAGCTGATTGTATTGTGGGACGAGACGGATGGTTCCAGCTATGCGATCGTGTCATCTTTTTTCAGACTAATTTATTGATTTTGAAATGACATCATAGAGCCAAGTATTATCCCACAAAATCAAAAGCATTAGAAATATCACTCCATTCTTAATACGCAACTGATGATTTATTTGCACACGAGGTTTCAACCTTCAATTAAACTTGCATTAGATGGTCATTGGTCATCAATTTATTATCGGTGAATCTTCTCGGGGATGTTATAATTTACCGGTATTTTTCTCGCTACAGGATTGTGCTGAAGGGCACGGAGCTGAGCAGTGCCGTTGTGGAGGGCAGTTTCGGTCCGTTCCGCTTTGACGAGGAGTGGGGTATCGCGGAGGAGCTGACCGAGGACACGTCCGATCACTACCCCGTCCATATGAAGGTTCGTAGTACCGAGGAGACATGTAATATACTATTATATTGATTAGCTCGTTCATCAATAGCCCAGGCATGGATGTAACTCATTTGCCTAAGCCCAAACCCCTGCTAAATATCTTTGAAAAGGGACTGGTGTATCATTGCACTATAACGTCTTTTCGCTATAGCAAGGCTTTTAACCAATGCCGATGTCCTATAGCTCATGTCTCACAACGTTCAACGTGGTCTCACGGCCGTCTTACCTCGCCGGTCTTCTCGCAGCTGAAGCCAAAGACGCTGTCAGCGGCGGAGCGCTACCTCTACCCTCTGGAGGTGTTTGCCGTCACGGACAAGCGCGGAGTGTCGTCCGGTGAGGTCGAGGTCCTGGCCACGTCGAGCGACACGGCCTCATACAATGTGCTGCCGCTGTACGACTCACAGGGCGCGCTGCAAAAGGTGGGTAACGGGGACAGCCTGCAGGACGAAAAAGCTTGCAGATATTCGAAACAACGCGATGCAAATTCACTTAAAGTAAACTGAAACGACCAGGCAGGAGCTTGAGATGATATGATGTGCGTTTCTGTATTTATTTACAGGTTTTGGCAGAGTACAAATCGTACAAGCTGTCTGGTGAGGGAATCCTGGACACACTCCTAGCGTTCCAGGAGAAATTCCCCTCAATCGTCACTGACTATGACCTGGGTCTGCTCCGCTACAAGGCAAGTGCGCTCCGAAGATTGACAATGGCGTTTAGTGTGTACAACAGCCATGGAATAATGTATGCGTTATGTAAATTGCTTGAGCGTTCGGTTGGTGTCAAACTTTAAGCGGAAGAGTCGTGCCTTGAACAAGGCGGTTAATATATGTAAGCAAAGTTAATCAAAATTAGAGCACGCTCTCGTTCCCACTACTTTGTCTTGCTCAAACTCCCGGCCAGTTGGATAAGCAATTCATCGAGAGAACTCTGAGAGAAGTCTATTTTGAATCACGCTGTTATTAAATGCGCGTTCCCAACTAAAACAACGACTTCGGACTTGGGCGCGCTGCGCATTTTAAAGGCCTGCAATATCCAAATTTCACGCGATTTGCAGAGTCGCCACTGCCCTCTGACCCGTGTTTGACCCCCAGATCGCCGCCGGCGGTTACTCGGACCCGACCGTGTACGAGGCTGCCTCCAGTCCGCGCTGGTTCTGCCGCATCACCTGCTCCGTTGAGACGTCCGGCACCTGCATGGTCGCAGTGGAGAAACGCACCCTGATCGCCTAAACGAACGGTCCTGTGACGTCACTGGTGGAAGTGACGTCATCGGAAAACTATCCCACCGACGAACGATGTGACGAAGCGATGTTGACCCTGTTTTGTTTGTTAGTGTTGGTGATCGGATATCTGGAGATGGGCATAACTGTGGCATATTATGTTAAAAAGAAAAGGCACCTGGAGAGTTGCTGCACCACAATGTCGGGAGCGTACAGAAACATTGGGTATTTATATGTTTGTATTTTTAATAACGTTTTAGTTCGGGGCACATTCATGAAATACACGATTCAGCTGTAATTGTGTTTGTCGAGCTTCACGCAAATGAATTTCATGCATTTATTAAAATCGAACATGTGTTAGGCACTTTGATTTAAAAAGAAATAGCGTTGTTGCAATCGTTGCTGCTCTGCATTCGCTATCGCTGAATTTGTGGTGAGCAGAGAGACCGTGCGGTGTGCACGTTCTCTCGTTTGGTCGGCATGGTGACCAACCGAGCGGTCTCCAATTTGACTGCACCGAATGACGAATCGGGGAACGTGGTGGCCAGCCGAGCAGTCTCAGTTTGTCTGTAACTAATAGCGATTCATGCAACGCACGGCTAAATGTGTTGCGTTAAAGTGTCACCATGGCGTAGATGTAACTTGCGAGATGACTTTTCTAAGGTATGGCTATGTTGGCCTAAGAGTCGGCTGTTTACAGCGTGGTTTTGAATGGCAGCCGTGCGTACCGCCGGGCATGGAAGCATTGCGGTACAGCATACCCGCCAGGTGTTTCCAGCGGCCAATAAAATTGTTGGGTGTGTGGGTGTGGACAGCAGTCTAACCTGTCAGAAACTACATCCGATGAGGAGAAAGCATGAAACTTATTTTCACAGAACAATAGAGCGCCGTCTTGTCTTGCATGATAACCGCGTATACTTTAAACAAACCGTGATTTTGTACTAAGAACTCTGAATAAGTCACAGACCTCTGTAATGAATGAACCCATACCGACTAAACATTGTTGACTACATAAAGCATATCTGATTTTTTTTTGCAGCGAATTGACTGTCAACCGGTTACAAACATTAACACTTGAATCGTGTTTTTAATAGCGGCTATAACATGTGATATTATATCCCCATCATTGCAAAAAAGTAGCTCTTTCGAGAAAGGACTTTCACAGACCAGACCTAGCCGGTATTTTAATTTCAAACTGTCGAGTCAGTTCACCTCACGTGATCACAGTACATACAGCTTCATTTGCAATGCACCGTTGGATTCAGTAGCATGCCTTCCGTTTCGCCTGCATCCCTTCACGGTTAATACCTTACGTAACCCATCAGGAGCCCGATATTATGTCACCGCACGCTCTCGTTCTCGGCGCCGTGATGACAGGAAGCCGTCTGTCCCCCGCCAGCCGGCAAACCGAGCCGTCAGGCTCTCACTCCCAGCCAGTAACGACGGCGTGGCTTGCGAGACCAACACGGAGGCACACCAACAACAAAGACCGCCGCCGGCGGCGCGGCGTGCTATGGCGCAGTGCGGCGTGTCGCGGCGCGGCGCGGTCATCTGAGCGGCTCGCCATGCGCCAGAAACGACTCCGGCGCGGCCACTCGGTTGCCGAGAGAAAGGGAAAGCGGCCACAGCCCGGCTCCAAGGCGGTGTCGGTGGGGCTCATGGCTCACCTGCCCACGAGCCCCGCTGGTCGTCACCGGTGCGGAACGGCCAGGAGCTGCAGCCCCGTCTCATGTCTGTCCTGTCGTTGCGACAGACACGCGATCTGAGCCGTGTAACACCGACACCAGCGCACTAATTGGAGCGCGAATGAGCGCGGCGGCGGCGTAAATGCCGCGTGTCGGAATCGGGCGATAGTTGGAAATGGCTGACAGTGGGTTTGTTATTGTTCTGATGAAAGATGCCGCTCAGATTAGCAGACTAAGATGAAATGATACACTAACGCGATTATTTTTTATGCACACCTGTGATAGAATGCTATACTAACTGGTTGTGACTTGTGAGCACCGAGCACCTATGGCAGCGCGAAGAATGGAAATGCAAAGCTGTCAAACTTGAGGTATGTAATTTCTATCTTAATGTTAATTTATTTTAGACGGAGCTGAGGAAAAGCGGAAAGCATTGGTTAATTCTAGCCGTTTTCACGGCGGGTTACCTCACGAATGCACCTAATTTGACCAAATCTGCACCAAATCTCTTTAACAATAGATATCTGTCCATTATGAATGTATTTCATTGTTTTTAATCGAAAACAATGCCTATTAAAGAGAGAAAATATATGAAAAGTTGACCTCTCCTCGACATTTAAATTATTTGAATAGCCAAATATTAGGTAGGACTGTATTGATATTTCGACCAACAGGCCTTCTTCAGAATAAGGCAGTGTACACAAGTGTATGAGAATACAATATTATATTCTCGTACACTTGTGTACACTGTCTTATTCTGAAGAAGGCCTGTTGGTCGAAATATCAATACAGTAATATTTGGCTATTCAAATAATTTAAATGTCGAGGAGAGGTCAATTTTTCATATATTTTCTCTCTTTAATATTCATAATGTTCCTCGCAAGAGCGCTCCAAAGAATAAGTTCTGAAAACAATGTCTGATAATTTGACAAATGAGGTGTATAAGCATCTGTGTAGCCCAAACTCATGGCTTTTAAGAAACACGCTGAACCTAACTTGACCAAATGTGTACCAAATGACCGTCGTAAAAACAGCAATTTAAAGCGCCGATATAGAAGCAGTGGTCTAGCACATGGTACTCGCTAAATAGAAGATGCAGGTCAAATATAATTTCATCAGAATCGAGTTTAAATGCCGAGTCTAAGCAATCAAATATTTAAAGAAGTAGTAATTTTCAATCCTTATGAGGTAGTATACATACGTGATCGACTTGCAACTATAGTTGATCATCATGGGCGTAGGAACGTCATGAAAAGTGGGTGGGCCACCCTGTCAAGGGGCCTCCTTTTCCAGGGGGCCTCCTATTTTCAGGGGCCTCCAACTTTTGCCTCGTCCTGCTGGCTGCTTTCAAGTATGACCTCCAAATCTAGCTTCTGAGATCGGGCAGATATACCCAGGGGCGTAACTGTTTAAGCGAACAGTGCAGAAAGTCCGCACCATTTTTAAAACTTATTCCCCTCCGATTTTTTTTTTTAGAATGTATTTGCCGTAAACGGCGCATGACCCCTGAAAACCCTTACACAAATGTCTTCCTCGTTTCCCAGGTGCCCCCATTAGCTTCATAGGCGCCCTCTTTGGCATATAAGCGCCCTATGTATAGTCATCAGAGACATCCCATATATGTCCCACAGTCGCCCCATTGTCGCATACAATGTGCGCTTATCATAGTCGTCTCTCTTTTATGGACACTTGAAGGCACCTCTCTTTGCCATGCCGGCGCCCCTGTTTCTTATGAATGCACCCCCATGGCATTGATCAATTGCAATTTGCAGACCTCTATTGCATGTGGACGCCCATATATGTAGGCCTCAGAGGCGCCCCTCTTTCGCATTGAGGCGTCCCTATGGGCTTCATAGGCACCCCTCTATTGCACGTAGGTGCCCTACTGTCTCAGAACCGCTCCCCTTTGGCATGGAGACGCCCATCTTTCGTACGGAGGAGCCGCTGTGGTTCTTAGAGACGGCATGGTGCTCCCAGACGCAGATGGGGCTCTCGGAGTCGACAGTGTGGGACCTTCAGTCGCTGATGGGTGCCCGCCAGATGTGGACCCTCGGAGACGCCGGTATGGGGCCCTCAGAGATGCCGGTATGTGGCCCTTAGAGACACCGGTGTGGAACCCTCAGATACTTCAGTGGGAAGCCCTTACAATTGCTGGTGTGGAGCTATGAATGCGCTGGCTTAAATCCCTCAGAGGCCGGTACATGGACATAAGAGCTCAGTGAGAGCTTGTGTGGTGCCTTCAGTGGCCTTGTGGAGCCGTTAGACATCAACATGGTGCTCTCAGGAGCCGGTGAGTCCTCAGAGTCACCGGTGTGGGGCCTTCCGAGCTCCGAGATACTGGTCTGGGGCCCTCAGAGGTGTCGGTGTGGGTCCTTCAGATGTACCTATATGTAGAGCCTTGAGATGCACAGGTGTGGTGGCCCACAGAGGCGCCAGTGTGGGGCCCCCAGAGCCACCGATATAGGGCCCTAAGAGACACTAGTATGACCCTCAAAGGCGCCGCTGTGTGGCGCTCATAAACACTGGTGTTGAGTCATCACAGGCGGGTGGAGCCGTTAGAGGCCGGAAAGGGCCCTTAGATGCCTACAAGGAGCCTTCAGAAGCCGGCGTGGCACGTGGGGATAAGCGTGTCTACTTAGGAGCCCTTGAGGTGCTCTCATGAGCTCTGTGGGGCCCTACCGAGCCGAAATATGGCCACGGCCAGTTGCCGCCGCATGGCTCTTCGGACTATCATTCTCAGGGGCCTCATCTGCCTAGTTTGAATAGAAGGGCCTCTCAGACCATCAGTCTCATGGGCCTCCTTTGGCTAGTATAAATAGAAGGGCCTGTTAGACCATCAATCCTAGGGGCCTCCTCTGGTTAGTATAAATAGAAGAGCCTCTCAGACCATTAATCTCAGGGGGCTCCTGTGGACAGTATAAATAAAAGGGCCTCTCAGACCATCAGTTTCGGGGGCCTCCCTAGAAAAGTGTAAATGTGGATAGAGGGCCCTCTCAGATTCATTAGGAGTGGACCTCTCTGACTATCACTCTCAGGGGCCTCTTGTGGCCAGTATGAATATAAGAGCCTCTCAGACCATCGGTCTCAGGGGCCTCTTCTGACTAGTGTGGATAGAGGGCCCTCCCAGACCACCGGTTTCAGGGGCCTCCAGTGGCCAGTTATATGAACAGAAGGGCCTCACAGCCATCAGCCTCGGGGGCCTCTTCTGACTGGTGTGAATATGAGGGCCTCTCATACCATCAGTCTCAGGGGCCTGCTCTGCCTAGTGTGAATATAAGGGCTTCCCAGGCCATCAGTCTCAGGGGACTCTTCTGACTGGTGCCGGATTGAGGGACCTCCCAGACCGAAAGTTTTGGGGGTCTCCTGTGGCCAGTATAAATAGAAGGGCCTCTCAGTCCATCAGTATCATGGGCCTCTTCTGCCTGGTGTGATTATAAGGGCCTCTCAGGTCATCAGTCTCAGGGGCCTCCTCTGACTACTGTGTAGATGGATAAGCCTCCCAGACCATCAGTCTCAGGGGCCTCTTATGACTATTGAGGATAGAGGGGCCTCCTCTGACTAGTGAGGGTAGGGGGCCTCGGCTAGACCGCCAGTGTCAGGGGCCTAAATTTATTCTGACTAGTGTGGATGGAGGGGTCTCCCAGACCACCAGTCCCAGACCTCTGACTAGTGTGGATAGAGGGGCCTCCCAGACTGCCAGTGTCAGGGGCCTCCCCAGACCAGCGTGGATATTGGGGCCTCCTCAGATCCACTAGGGCCTCTCAGGCCATCAGTCTCAGGGGCTTCGACTGACAAGTATGAACAGAGGGCCTCCTTGGATCCATCACGGCCCCTTGGAGTCCGTGCGTGGGGATTCGTGGAACTTATTTTTACCGAGTTTGTTTATTCTGGAAGGTGACGACGTCCTCTCAAATCGAGAAGAGGGGCCTCGAGTAAAAAGTGGGTGGGCCAAAACACATGGTTGGCCCCCCCACCTCGAAAAGTGGGTGGGCACTTGCCCACCTGGCCCCCCCCCCCCCTGTTCCTACGCCTATGTTGATCATGGACTAAAACCGTTAGGTTTTTTTCGAGACTGTGACTTCTTGCCAAACAATTGCCTAAAAATAGTCAGCAAAATCCCGTTTCCGAATAAGACATCAAATTTCCATCACGCAGCCATTAGTCGTCTGGGTTTTGAAGCTGAATGAACCAAGGTTTCTTCATTAGTTTGACCTTTTTAAGTAACGAGAGTACCAGGTGGTCAACAGGTGACATTGTTCCCTCTCATTGTTACATAAAACGCGAAATTGCTGCGCCATCCAGCTCGATGGTCCAGACCCGGCTGAAACCAGTTCCTGATTTTGGCCCCGGTTGGAAAGTTTTCTCCCCTCTAAATGCAATGACATGCCGATAGATCTGATGATCTGCGATGCGTGTCCGACGGTCACAGGCCGGCCTGCCCACCTCTTTCTCTCGGGTTTGTCTCGTGGTGCACGCCCGGCTCTGGAGCCAGAGAGGGAGCCAGCTCAGCGCTCGGCGGCGCTATAAAGTCGCCGGGCGAGAGTGAGAAGCTCAGTGCTCCGTCAGAAGCCATCCGGAGACCATGAGGACCCTACTGTTGTGCGCGGTACGTGAAAGGTGTCTAATCTGAGACCAAGGCGATTTGGTGTGGCGTGAATCTGAGAGATTGTGCTGTGAGAAGAGGATAAGTGAGCGATTGTGTTGGAACTGCATGGTTGAGCTACGGCATCGACGTTTGGTCTCTCCTGCTCCGTCAATCAGCTGCGAGGTTCAAATGTCTAGTACTTTGTTTGAGTGTGCCCAGCATCAATTTCTTTTAACTTTGTTTGGAGGTTTTAAACAACAATTTTGAATTTCTATTCTCTTATTCTCAAGTTAACATTTAGGTGTGCGAATGTGTATCTCCAAATTGTATGAAAAAGGAACATTTTTCATGGCATTTATATGTTTAAAAATGTAGACAAAAAGCAGTAACATGCGCAGAGTCTTTGCTGTGAGTGTTTATCTGTGAGCTTTTGCACGTCTGCTGTCTCAGCTACCTCTTGTTCGCGAGTTCTCGCTACGGGTGACCAAGTTTCGTGTGTCTTTAAAGCCAATATTAAATCCGTTTATTTTTGTCGTCACAAAAACTAACTCGAGCTCCCAAGCAGTATCATCTCACTTACCAGCACAATCGTAAAAGCTATACCTATATTTTCTAACCTTGGGAAACCACGGCCTTTCTGTCACCGTTTCTATTTCGAGCCAGCCGGAGTCAGCGAAACCCTGCTGCTCCGGGTCGTTGCTCGCCTTTTATTGGACGAAATTCTCCTGTGCAGGTGGTCGCTGTGTGCGTCTGCGGGACGCTGGGAGCCCGACGAAGGCTTCTCGTCGGACCACCACGCCGTCCCGTACAGAGCGTAAGTAACAGGCTTCCTTCTGCGTGGGATTAAAATGGAATGTACATAACAAATGGTGGAGACGTGACGGTATCAGCAAATCCTAAATGCAATCAGTAGTATTTTAATTCGGCAATATGCTTGTACGCCTAGCTGCCTCTTAGTATAAATGCTATTGCGTCTTTATCTATGAGTAGGTATTCGAGGCGTGTTGTGACTGGCTTTTTGTTCACAGCCGCCACCCGTGGAATTTACGTGCATTAGCATACAAACATGATTTTGTGCGAAACAAAAACACTGAGCTTCAGCTATCGATAAAGATAATACACCTACGGCATGTTTCAGTGATTGACCATCTCCCCCTGGTTTTCCAGCTGCCCATTGGAGGCTGGCCGAGGTCCCGGGACGGGGACCTCCCCGGACGTCCCGTTCCTGGCCGAGTTCCGGCCGAGCAGCTGCGGCTGGCTCCCAGGGAGCGCTACCCGCAGCCGCCGCCGCCTCAGGAGTTCGACGACGAGTTCCAGGCGCCGTTCCGTCCCCAGTCCCCGGAGTTCTTCCGTCAGGATGAGCCCTTCGCGCCGGAGCCTTACCGCCGGGCGCCTCAGGAGCCCTACCGCCAGGAGGCCGAGGACCTCTTCCGCAAGCAATCTCTCGAGTCCTTCGGCCAGAGGCCCCAGGAGGCCTTCGAGCCTCAGGAGGTCTTCGGACAGAGGCCGTTCGTGCAAGAGGATGAGGCTCCTGAGGCGAGGCCCGTCCCGGTGAAGAAGCCTGCGGAGGAGCGAAGGGAGCTCGCCGCCGAGTCGTCGGTGCAGAAGCGACAGGACTACGCTCCGCTGGTGCAGAGGCAGGAGCCCAGCTACAGCGAGGTATAAGCATCCTCATTTCGAGAGATTATCAATCGGGATTTGTTGCTGACTTTTTAGTGTTCGGTGACATTGGTGCCGAACAAATCGTAGATCAAGTTTGCTGGTCAATAAGTCTGAAGTGCCAACATGAATGTACCCAGTTTGCTCTGCACACTTCTTAAACGTTTCATTTTAGGGTGGGGGTTGAAACAAGTTTATTTATATTTCACATCTTGCATTGTATAACTTTCTAATGTCCAGCAAAAGCTGGACCCACCAATAACCTCCATCTTCTCACGCATCCCACAGCCGGTTGCGGACAGCCGGCAGGACGCCTACTCGCTCAACATTCCCGAGAAGAAGGAGAAGCAGCGCCTGGAGTTCCAGGTGCACGGCCAGCAGGGTCCGCACAGCTACCGCTTCGGCTACGACACCGGCACCGGGTAAGACGGCACCAGTGCAGCAGCTCACCACTGTCCTTCGCGGTTCGTTATATGTGGAGAGACCTGAATGGGGCTATCTCCGATTTGCATTGCACTAGCGTTTGACATTCCCGTTCAAATCACCACATGGAGTAAAACTGAAGATTGAACTTAGAATGGATTTCCTTGGTAGAGATGATTTGGTTAAGAACTGGGTCTATTTACAAAAACCCGAACAGGTGAGCTAGCGAATTACTGAAAAGCAAAGATGCCATGTTGCCCGCTGGCTAATCAAGGATTCGTTTGGCTTCGTTTGTTTGAAAGATTCGTTTTCCCGTAAACAACAGTCACTGGACGTCACCCGACAGATAACTGCTGATTACTGACTACGACAAACACATCACGTGTGTCCCTACCGGATGTTCGGTCATGATCCAGGATGGACATGGTCTGCTGAGCATTGTCCTTTCTCTGAGCAGATTATTGCGTGAGGGGCTATTTTCCATCGCTGATCCCGGCTGCTTCTTTTCTTACAATGATGCCTGGCACTTGGCAGCAACGATCGGAAACCATGGCGAATTGCTTCCGATGGTCTTTTTACCGTCTGGAGCCCACGACAAGGAGCTTTCTAAAGTATAACTGTCGTTACATCACTCCGGCCTATCAATGAGTAATGGGTACCGGGAACTGGTGCAGCCCTGGCTGCCCAGTCCCGCCTCGCTCGGCTGCGGTCAGTCGGTCCGCAGCTGCTCTCGGGAAGGCAGCTGGAGAAAGCTGTCGTCACGGTCGGCTGGCCATGGCACACCCCTGTCGGTGGCGACTCTCTCGGCCTGAGCAGCAGGCCCAGCCGAGCGTCACATTGAACGGTCAGCGCACCGCGCCGAGACGGAGGTCATCTGCGTCTGCCCCGCTCCCCGTCCCCCTCCAGGGGCACGGCGCCGGGACCAGGCAGCGGTGACTTTCTTCAGTAGGAGCATAGAAAGGATGACTTAGATTTCGCTTTCTATTAGTTCAAAATTTAACTTCGTCTAAATATGCTCGAATTTTATTCATCGCATCGTCTGGTATCTTGTAAAAAAATATATATACCTGATAAAACAATAGACAGAAATAGGATTGTTCGAATGTGTTCATTGCAGCATTGAGACTTCCAAGAGCTTGATAAATGCTATCGCAAAGTCCGCTCGGCTGACCTTTCGAAACAAGGAAGAGCATATTGTTCATATATCAGCTAGCTACCTATTCTGCACACCTCCCGTTGTCTCCCTGGCCGCGCGCTCGCCTCCGCTCGTCTCCAGCTCCGCCCACTGGACGCGGTCTGCGTCACTTTCCCGCGTCACATGTCGCCGGCCGTGACGGCCACACGTGACGCGTCCGGCCGTGACGGAAACCGACACAGATCCAGCGGCCCAGCGGCTGAGAGGCAGCTTAGTTCACGGCGGGCGTGAGTCGGCGGGTTCCGCAGACAAAAGGAAATCGGAACAAAATGTGCTCCTCCGACCAAGCTTCTCTTTGAGTCTGAAAGCCAGAAACCACGCAAAAAAGCGAAATGAGAGGGCTTCCAGGGTTTAAGCAGAAATGCGATCGCATAGATGCTGTCAGGTGAAATTCTAGCAGACCCAAGCTTCGGTCGGTGTACCCGTATAATTACCAACCTCCTGTTCCTCGGCAGGCAGGTATCACCGCCGGTCTCACTCTCCCGGCAGGTAGGTATAATCATCAGTCCCCTTTTTTCGGCAGGTATGAGCGTAAACCTCAACTTTTCACGGCAGGTATAACCATCAGTCCCATTTTTCCCCTCAGGTATAACCATCAGTCCCCTGTTTCCGGCATATAACCGTTATTCCCTTTTCTCCCGGCAGGTACAACCGCCAGTTCCGATTCGAGGAGCGCGACGCTGACGGTAACCTGAAGGGCCGCTATGGCTACTACAAGGACGGAAAGCTGCGGGTGGTCAACTACTCAGCCACGCACAAGGGCGGCTTCCACGCCGAGGGCGACTTCGGCAAGTTCCCAGAGAAAAAGTACTGATCGCCCGGCGCCGAAATGGAAAACCGCCAGCTTTGTAAAGACACGCAGCCGATGGCCTCACTCCGCGTGCTCCTGCATTCACAGAGAAGTGCACACACCATCGGCATGACTGATACGCAAGCAACATTAGGAGTGGTGCGTCTTCGCTATGCATACGAAGACCTATTTGTTTTAGTGATATTCATCAGTTAGGAGCCATTATGCTCTTGAGCAAACACCTAGACAGCATGGTATGCAGCTTTCCTTGTGTACAAAAGAACAGAATCGGCTCATAGCCATCGTTGGCCATGCAAGTTGATGGTTGACTCATATGTAGATTGTATGGTAATTTCCATCGTTCGCCATGGGTTCCGCCAGCCTTGACCTGGACGGAAGCCCGTATTGATTTACGTTGTTACCATCTTTCTGACATCCGGTTCCACTGGACATGACTGGCGCGCTCCGCTACTGACCACGCCACGAACAAATTGTTACGTTGTTAATTGTTATTGATCGCATTGTGGTACGCAATAAACGTATGACTACGTGTAGAAGTGGAGGCATTTTTTAATTTGAACTGAGTGCTTAGGCAATAGATGAACATGCATCTTAACTGCGAAAGCGCAGTCCTATGCTTACCATTTCGTTTCTGCCCTTCGATTGTCGATCGATCAGTGTCAGTTTTTTTCGGGGTCCGTCTTACAACATCGATCGATGTTCATATGTGTTCGGAACCCGCAAAACTCGAATGTATTCAATTGCAGTTTACATCATGCGGCGACAGGTTTCGCTGGCATTTAAAGTTAGAAGAAGGGCGGATTCTCGACCTATAGCTTAGCTGCTACCAATAATAACCTGACAGTATCGCTGAAACACGCGGGTTTGAGCTGTTTCAGAGCGTATAAGAAGGGCATAATTCAGCTAAATGAATTGGTTTGGCATTCATAGTAAGTCGGACATGCATGAAAACTTGTACTAACACGCGGTCCTTCATATACATATATAGTATACACTGCGGTATTCTGGGTCCTGGATCATTTATATAAACCAGTATTTGAACGTATAGCTGTTAAGTACTATGTCACAAATTGCATTTAACTACGTGCCCGGATTTCATTATTGGAAGCTAGCCTTTATGTACACACACAAAAAAAAATACTGTGAGAAAACAATATGAGATATGGCATTCCATTAGCTTTACTCCATAAGCCTAAATATGCATGTACCTATAATTTGCCTAGCATAACATTTCCTAAAAACCTGACAAAAGGTACCTACCTAACATATATTAGCATTATTTCGGGTTAGAGAGTCAAGCGACAGAGCTATGGTTGAAAAATATTGGTTTATGTGCTACGCCGAGTCAGGGTATGGAGGAAAGTTGATCTGCTTGACCTATCAAATGGTCTGATAACCCAATGCAGTAATCTATCTTTTGATATACAAAAACATTCATTACGGGCATCAATATTAAATATGTTGTTGATGTCCGTTGTCCCGTTTTCTTGCTGCATCGCACGGTAACAATCATTCGGTGAGACATATGATGAGGATTTAATTGTCTCACAGCACAGGTCCAGCAGCTAATAGATGGCCTTGTTTTCCCATATATTCCCTTCTTTCATACGCCCTTTGGCTTTGCAAATAACAACGACAAAAGGCTTAGCTAACTGCTACAGGGTCCACTGAGTGTTCAAGTGTTAAGCATGATAGTCCTGTCCTTATATCCACCCGGGTGCTATTGATGTCCACCTATAATCCACATTCACCTGCTGACGTTATGGAGCCACGCCCACCCGACCCTAGACAGCCGACGCCGACCAACCCTCAGCCCCTGGGGAATCACCGCGGCGAGCACCACTGGTGCCACTGAGAGCAACTGCAGCTAGTGAACCAGTCACCAGGTGGCGCCCTGCACAGACCGATTCTCCTACTCGCGGGGGCAGCGGTGGCAGCCATCTAGGCTGCCAGGCTGTCAGGTCAGCGGTCACTGATCAGTGGTCACCCATGACTGCAAGAGGTCACCCATTTGGGTCCTGAGTTTCCACACCTTCTGAGGGTAGTTAAACGTTTCCATGCGTTCTACGTATATAGGTAAAGGTGCATTGGTACCTAATTAATAATTATTGTTTAGTTAGTCAGGGGAGAACCATCTAGAACGGCCGGGTAGGCATGACAATCCATTAATGCTCGCATTAATGACATCATTGTTTTATCCGAGAGAAACACATGCCCCTAAAGTAAATAAATATAATTGTATTGGATCTAGTTCTAACAATCGTGGATGCGGTTTAACTACATGAACGTCCGGGACTATGTGCCCTGCGACACCCCAGCTTCCGTTTCACGGCAGCTGAGGCGCAATGGCCGGCTGATCACCCCATCGGCGGTCCGCACCGGGCCGTGAGGAGGCGGAAAAAACATCCTGGCGGGGGTCTGCGGTTCACCAGTTCTCCCCCGAGCGATAAGCAGCGGGTCGGCCGGACACCGTGGGACCGTATCGTGTTGCGCAGAGGCGCACTCAGTGATCAGGCGCCCCGGACGTGGTACCCCTCCTTTCACCCATGCCACCCATGCCACCCGCCGGACGACGCCTCTGCGCAGGATAACGTCTGCCGACCTAAAGGATTGGCCACGGGGGCCGGAGCGGCGGTCTAGAGTTCACTGGTCAACAGTGACCGGTGGTGACCACCTGCCGGTAACGGGGAGGGTGAATTACCTCCTTCGACGGCACAACTGAAGGGGTGACCTGGTTGGTCGATGGCTCAAAACGCGCCCCTTCCGCCCCTCCAGTCCTGGTCCCGGCTCATTTGCTCAAATTATTTGGAGCACAGTGAGCTGAGGCCCACGTCATACGAGAAACATGTGACATATAATACTTCGCACGGCGTGGGGGCGTGAAATCGCTACAGAGACGGGTGTAACGAGCTGAGACTGGTCTAATACTGTTGTTTTAGAGAGCGAACATTGACCGGTAACGGTTTAATAGCCGTCCGTAAGCTGCTAAACCAGCTTAAACCGTAATGTGGTAATCAAATACCTACCGTAAACCGGGGTGAGTTGATATGGATTTTGAGGTTTTTCTAGATTTCTTTAAAAGCCACATTCATTTACGGAATTCTTTTTGTGCCAGTTTCATGGCACATGCCTTGGGGAGGCAATCAGCAAAAATGAATAAAAAATGTATATATTAAGCCCCTTTTTTAAAACACCAAAGTTCATATCAACTCACCACCCCCCAGGGGGTGAGTTGATATGATTTTGGATTTTTCAAAATTTCTCGGCTAAAGAAGCGCAGAGGTGAGTTGATAAAATGCCAGTGTTTAAAAAAAAGGATGAGAGAACACATCCTGAAAGAAACCATTAGAAAAATGATAGTAGTTTGGCAGCAGACCTCACATTCATGAAAACGCGATCATGTCCAACACAGCGCTATCAAAATGGCTTGATTTTAGCAGCATCATTTTTTCGCTTTATGATACTTAGTTTTACTTAGAACATTCTGAACTTGGCTAGTCATGTGTCCTCAAGCCAACGGTATCAAAACTGGCAATATATTTTGGAATTACAAGTGTATTTTCTTGTAATTAAAACACATTGTCAGTTGCGGGTCAAGGTTGATATGCCTCTGACAGAAATAATGGATTGAAATGAAAGAATACATATACTTCTGAGCTTTTGTGGACTGGTAGTCAACAAAATATTTATGAAGTGAAGTGAAGCGAATCTAATTCGGACTGTATTCTATCAGGTGAAATAAGCGACATAAAACAGAATTCGGCATCAAAAGCCAAAATTAACCCTCGCACTTATAGGCGGGCGAACGGACCAACTCGGCTTTTCGCACATAACTCGCGCAAAAAGCGGCCGATCGCGACGAAACTTTCAGTGCCTCTCGAGTTTATCAATTTTACACATGTTCTAAAGATTTCATGACCCTGACTCAAATAGTTTTTGACTTGTGACCTGATTCTCGAGACCATGCTTGGCCGGAATCGCGATTTGGCGTAGTCGGCTCACATTATCCGCGCATTTCCAGTCTTTTTGTGATTTTAACGTCCAAACATGTAAATGATGTTGGTCCCATGCAGTATTGTGGGTGTCAACTGTCAGGTCACCTGAAGGTCAGGTCAGGTCATTGACCTTTGGTGACCTCGGCTCACTTTTGGAGTTTTACATGTTTCTAGGGTAGTTTTTTCGGGCCGATGTCGAATTTAACATGCATTTGATCATTTACGAAGTAGTTTTAGTGCCTTCGTAACATGTTACGACACCGTCAGTGGTAGTTGATACTTGACACTCCCTATGGATAGCCGGCAGGACACCTACTGGTTGACCTGACCTGACCTGACCTGGCCTAAATGTACGAAGACACATGTGATCAAAACAAACATGACATTCGTGATCAGCAACAGCCAAAAAATAATAACCTCGCTTTACGAACTTCAAATAACCCCTTATTTTCCCGACTTCTGGGTAATTGACCTGGCCTGGAAGGTTAACCAATGACCTAGGACCTTAAAGTTGGTTATCATCGGCTTCCTCGCGTCTCGGGCAACACGCTCGTTTTTTCCTCGAAGCTCTAGCTCCACCGGGGGCCAAACGACGATGGGATTCCAACGGACCCCCCCCCCCCCCTATACGTTAAACGCTGGCAAAACACGAATACGGGCGAGGGCTAAAACACCAGTCAATTTCTTTATATTGTTTGTTCCATTTCATTTTGTCACTCATTCTCGGTTGGCAACTGCCAAGCAGGAAGACTTATCAGTTTCACGAGATCAGAATTCCCGCGCTGATAGCCATACAGAAACGACAGTTCTGTCATTTTCGAAACCACGAATAATTATAACATAACATTTTTTTAATCTGTATGTATATAGGTGTTCTATAGTGTTCCTTTGTAGCTTGTAGGGAGCCATCTTGAGACTTGACAGGGAGTTGTGCTGTGCCTTTTGCATGTTAGGTATGTCCACAGAAAAAAAAACTTTGGGGTCACTGATGTTAGTTGTCGGACCTTCGTCCCCGTCGTGAGTTGAGAATTGAGATGTTACTTTCAAACGTTTCGGCCAGTTACTCTCCGGCCGTCGTCACTCGTCAAGTGTTCTTTGACCCTCAGAAGGACCTGGATGTTGGTGGCGTTGCGCCGTACGCGTCCAACCGTTCGAAAGCTCCTATAGTCAGCGGGAATCGAACTCGGGTTTCCCCGGTGATGGTCCACGGTTCTAACCACTCCACTATCGAGGCAGATTTGAATGTGGCCGGAGAAGTTACTTGCTGAAACGTTGTGAAACTAACAACTCAAGACGGGGACGAAAGTCCGACAACTAACATCAGTGATTCTAACAGGCCTCGTCTCAAGCATTCAGAAAAAAAAACTAAAGCTTTTGGGGGTTGATGGAATGATGTGGGGAGAGAAAAGGAGAAGAGTTGGTCTAATTGACTTTGTCTTACTTGCAGACCCATATTTCATGCTAATTTGCATGCATACCAGCCTGGTATCAGCTTTTATCATGCATATCAACTCACCACTTGATGGCATATCAACTCACCACCTGTCACTTTTCTTAAAATTATAAAAAAGCGTTGTTATAGGTGAAACCCAAAACTACCTGGGATCAACAGTAAATTGATGGTAGTTTCTTTCCCAGTGCATGTTGTTCCATGAATATCCACCGTCTTTGCTGTAGGGTGGGGACTTTTCCTTAGTTTCAAAATCAGAAGAAAAAAAGGACTTTGAAAAAAGTAATGTGTTAAGAAGGCACTGCACCACATGCATGCCTTTCTCAGCTATATGCATCACTTATTGGTTGCTTCACTTCACAGAAAAATAAAACTAAAAATTGGTTTACAAATGGATGAGCAGCACACATTTTAACATTTTTCGAGCAATTTATATCAACTCACCACCCCATATCAACTCACCCCGGTTTACGGTACCTAATTCGCTACAGACAGAAGCGTCGGAACTACTGTATTCCTGGTCGGGCCCCCAAGTAACTCTGAGCCTCAATTTGATGTGATGTGCTGGATTGCCAGAAACTCAAACACAAAAAAATAATAATAGCTTAACGTCATACTAGACGGTCATAAGATGCATTCCACCATTCACATTGTATTTCTGCAAAAACAAAGCAACAGCACAGTAACAAATAAATGCACGGGAATCCAGGCTACAGATAAAGTCACATCCGTTCGAGAAATCAAGCACTTGAAAAGAAGCCACAGAATGAAGCGAAACTATCAAGCAGAGCTCCCGAACTAGCACGAGCAGTTGCTACGTGGCTTCTGAATAGGAGTTGTCCCGTCGGGGTGAAAACTTCCATCCCATGGAAGGTGAACGCATCGGTAATACAAACGTCAACATAAATACAATCTGAAAAATTGAACCGATAGGTACTCCCTCCCCATCAAATAACTCGACTCCTTTTACGTATACGTATTCATTTTACGTTGCGGTGGTTACCAGCAACTGAATAAAGTGCGAATGCCACTCGAGGATCAAAAGCAAAAATATACGAATCGTGATGGCATTTTTAAGCATCGCATATTACAGACGTTCACGTCGAATCACTGGGCCGAGAAACATAAATAGAACGGACCGGGGCTCCGGACATCAGGTTTTTCATAATGTGAAACCATTCCACACTTTCTGAGATAAATGTTGACATTTTCATCGTCCCGAGAAAAAGTTGTCCCGCAACACTGTCGGCACGGGCCTTCGCATGATTTTACCCAAGGTTCATTCGTCAACAAATGACTTCGTAGTAACTGCAACTTCCATGTCGATGGGCAATGCGCTCTAACTATATAATATATATCTACTTTAGTTGAGGGCCTTGCTGTACATCAGCCATTTGTAACATGGAAGTCTTCACCCGTTTCAATAACAACCATCTCGGGTGACACTGCGGTATTGTGTGAGCAGAAGTGAGCGGTTGCAAACGTGAGCAATCTTGTGACATGGTAATATAGCAAATGCAAGCAATGTCCTTGATTTAACCAGAATGTTTCAATCCTGTTTGAAAATTGAAGCGCGTGTTGTTTATTGTTTGTGATTCTGTAATTGATGTAGGGTAAATCGATCAGTTGACGTCTGAAAGAAACGGCAATTAACGACTTGATGAAGTGCTTGGAGCGTTGACCCGTTTTCTATATTGAACTTTGCTAACCGTAACATTTTCCCACGTAACCTTCAACATTTTCACAGCCACTGGGACCGTTTAGAGCCCGTCAAAGCTGTCCAGCGCAATCATTGATGCAAATTTCAACCCTAAAGCCCAAGAAGTACGAATAAAGAAAAAGCTTGCTGTGTAGCACGTAAGTACATAAAATTACCAGAGCTAAGTGGACGATGTATCAGCCAAGGTGACAAATAATTGTTGACTACCTACCAATCCATATTTCTAACGAATATTTTTTTTCGTATTAGTTCAAAATAAAGTTTAAAGGTAGTGTGCCAGCTTTCTTGGACCGTATGGAGTTAATGGCCCAGATAAGGAGAACCGGATTTTTAGAACTTATCCATACCTTCAAAACTCATGGAAACGTCTTAAATTCTTCAAATTTTGAGTACCCCAGTGCGAAATTCGCCCCGACGGGTTGTCGGTCGTACCCCAACCACATTTCACACCACTATGAACAACAAATGCACACACTGAAATCGCTATTACCGATATGCTCATCCAATCAAGTTTCGATAAACCCGTTCATCATCATCTCCTGCGGTTTCGAACACGCCTGTTAGGTGGCTTCTGATGCTCGTCGAGGTCGGAATTTCCAAATACGCGTGGTGCGTCGGGCCGCGCGCTCTGACTTCGGCCAAGAAAATGCGTCAGCTGATCATTGTCATTTCTGCCACTTGCGTGTGGTGAAATGGGGTCATAACTTATAAGACGGCTTTTTCATATCAATTATTTTACATAAAATCATATTTCAAACCATAAATAATGTTCGACAGCCAAATAAAAGAAACAATACCAATACGGGCTTACAGTTTAAGGCTCGACATTGTGTTGTCTACGATTAGACAGCTGGTAACTCATTCCCGTACGTCGTATGGTCGTAACACTATAATGACCTTTGCTTATTGTCACAAGTGCACCGCATTCGCGATTGTTGCCCGACGCCTGTTTGCAGGTGAGCCCACTACAGTTGTTATACATATCTAAAAACCGAAAAACTTTTAGGCGAAAAAGGCACTATTCCAGGCCCATTTTTGATTTTTTTTTTTGCGATATTAGGTAAAAACAGAAGCTTCTTATCCTAGGAAAAATAAAATGGGAAATCTTTCAAAGGTGGCACACTACCTTTAAAATTTTCTCTGTAAACCACTTCAGAATAAAACCACCAGTCAAAACAAAGATCCAAAACCTTGGTGCGCGCGAGCTATTCATCCTCCATCTTCCAGTACTGACCACACCAGTATGGTTCACAGCCCCGTACCTTCATCTTCCTTTAATAGTGTTGGCATGTAGGCTTTTACGTTGACATTAGCGTTTAAGATTTACATGCGATGTACATTGTACATGCATGATTCAATGAAAGAGTACATCCACACTTCGCTTGGAGGAAACCTCCACAAATAGAAGATAACAGGAAAGAAGAATGCATCCCGCGTACTACAAAAGAAGTGCGCAATTATATCAATCAACATAACCTTAAATCAGCGGACCTATCCTGTCAATTCATAAAACTATTGTGCGTAAGTGTTCGCCAACAACATAGGGATAAGACAGCTACATACAGAATTCGGGTGGAAACACTTATGAGAAGCACATTAACACAGAAAAGCACACGAGGAGGATAGCGTCCTTCGGTTTCTACAAGACATGCAGGTTTCCATGGATACGCGCGTAGCGTGGCTCTGAGCGCTGTCGCGTCAGCAGCTCCCAACACACGCGCTCTGAATCACCACTAAATGGGCTCACTCGAACAGTGGACGTGAACCCACACCGCGACACTCCACCAACGCAGGCCACCCAACACCGGGAGCACACTAAACACGTGAACACAGTCCATCACAATCCCCGGCCGCAGCGCCCCCTCCCTCGGCTGCAGAGGTGTCGGCGTGGGACAGGCCGGCCAGCCGCGCGCCGCGGCTCGGTCGCCGCACTCCAGCAGGTAGCAGTTTGTACAGTGAAGCCATCGTAACGGGGGAACGGACGGCGTGAGGTCCCTCGGCGGCACGGTCAGCGCACCTGAACAGCCCGCGGCAGGCCGGCCCGGAGACGCCGGGACAGCCGGCAGACACATCAGTCGGGTGCACCCTCCCCACCCGCACAGCTAAGGCGCCGCTCAGAGTCGCTGGCCGACCCGTATCAGACCGAGGCGCGACCCCAGGTCATCTCTGTCTCTCTGAGCCGGGCCGGGTCCGGGTCACTCTCCCGAGCCCAGCCGAAATCCCTCGCACTCCCCTACCGGATGCATCTCGCCAGTTAGGTCACCCATGTCTCGGAGACACGCGGCCGCTTGTGCAGCGGGCCCGACTCGTGCTGCAGAGAGGGGTCGGTGGAGTCCAGACAAAAGCTGCCTGGCACCGGACGGCGGCCCAGCTGCGGTGGTCCTGTGGACAGCACGGACAGACAGTCAGACGGGCACACCTACTACTGCACGAAATGGTGGAAAGTCGTGGCAAAGCCGACGCTGCAAGAGGGAGCTGACAACTTATGCCATGGCAACGTTGCGATAGCTAGGGCAAAAACGGATTTATTTCCTCGCGCTACTTGGTGCGACTGGATACAATAGTGTGAAATGAACGGTAAACTAATTTAAAACAGGCAGTTCATGAGACACGTTTCCTTGATGCTCTAAAAACAGTTCATTGTTCCGGGTTTAATTTAGCTACACAAGTAAGTTACATTGGACTTCGGACTGCGCAATGCAGTTGATGTTAAGTTCAGGTGAAATAGTGCGCAGGCCCTTACAGTCGTGCAGTGGTCGGCGATCCGGATTTTAATCCATCTCGTAGGTGGCTAATCAGATTGTCACTCACATTCGCACATCTTATTAAAAATTGCAGGATGATGGCCACTTTTCCCATCACCACCACCCGCCACAACCGGTAACAGTTCCCAGTACCATAGTCTGACAGCCGCGGATTACAGAAAATCTCGTTTAACCCGGCGGCCGCTGGGCCTCCGCGCCACCGCCGGCCGCTGGGGGGGGGGCATATAGTTGCCCCCCCTTTACTTCCGCGGCGATATCGTCGCAACGCGAAGAGATAGAGAAGCGAAACTTTGCACACATCTTCCTGAATAGCTAGCCGAGGTTATGTCCAAATTTGGTGTCGATCCCATTTGAAATGACGTCACAGTGACGTCATAAGTCAAATTATAGATTTGCCACTCTCAGTTTCCTTACGATACATCAGGTATATGGGACCGAATATAAAGGGCCGATTATTGGTTAGCAACTAGATGGAAGTGTACTTAGATGTTTTAGGATGACAGCAGATGCTGTCTAGTTCATTTACAGTTGAGTTTCATGCTCAGCGTCATCAGAAACGGTCCATATCGGAAAACGACAAAACTTTATGACGTCACTGTGACGTCATCTTAGATGCTACAACCACCAAACTTTCTTCAAACATTGCCTAGGTATTCATTTGAAGCTATGCCAAGTTTCACGTTCGTAGCTCATCAGGTTTCGGAGATATTCCACAAAACGTAAAGGGGGGGCAACTTTATGCCCCCCCCCCCAGCGGCTCGTGGGTTAAAACACCTTAATCTGGCCGTGTCGGCTGGTCTGCCGTTACTGACCGTGTCCGAGGCCGGCGCCGGGCGGTGCCTGCAGCCCATGGCCGTCCGGTGCCAGCCGCAGGCCCGGGTGGCCCGCGTGCACGTCCAGCCGCTCCCTGTACGGCGGCGAGCAGCGCTCCGTCTTCACCGCCGACAGCGGCGAGTGGTCCCCGGCGCCCGGCGATGGTGACAGGCACGGCCCGCCGCCCATCGAGAGCACGCTGAAACACACAGATACGGTGTGAGCTCACTGAAACACCCGGGAACTACGCTGAAACACACATATACGGGGTGAGCTCACCGAAACACCCAAGAACGGTGACAAACGTACTGAAACACACAGATACGGTGTGACCGTGTGAGCACACTGAAACACCCGAGGACGGTGACAAACGCACTGAAACACACGTATACGGTGTGAGCTCATCGAAACAGATACATATAGTGAAAGATCATTAAAACTTAAAAGACAAGGACACGGCGTTAGGTCACATTGAAACACCCGGCAACTGAGTTAAACACACTGAAGCACCACAACAAGGGGTTAGGTCACACCGATACACCCAAATATGATGTAAGCTCAACCCCTGCACGGCACTCGCGACACACTGTATCTGTAACGCCAGGAAACGGTGTTACATACAGTGCAGCACCAAGATACGGCGCTAGTACACGAACACTTGAATACGAAATCAGCACACTGAACGAACAGTTACTGATCACAGAGTTAGTGACATGCTACACCTGGACACGGTAACCGTCTCGCCGTGCCAGCCCAGATATAGCTCAAACACGACGTCTTCAACATGTTATATAACCAAAAGAGATACAACCATCCCGTTATAGCCCAGCTTAAACACGTTACATAAGTAACTCAGTTTTCCCCGTAAAAATAGGTGGCACCTTAACAGCTATAACACAAATAGTCCCATCACACTGCAGCGCTGCCCCGGTGTCTGTTCTGCAGCGTTGCGTCAGTTGTGTTGCGGTGTCCATGACAGGCGCCTCATGTTATCGGCCATCCGGCGATCGCCAGGAGTCAACAGCGACCACACTGAACGACACACAGGCACACCACGTCCGATCACGTGACCGGTGCGGGCGCCGATACAGGCGACCACATGACCGGCGCCCATGGTGGCGCTCGGAGTGCTTCCCCGATAACACCTCGTCCGAGACAATGATAAGAGGACGCCGAACCCCCGCAGAGCGCGAATAGGATTGGCAGCAGCACACGGGTTAGGCAAACCTACTCTGGGCCGCGTCAAGGATCCTGAAGTGACCAAACAACACTCAACTGAGAGATATCCTGCAATGGCGAGGCTAACTGCGCATTTTCCCTCGTTCGTCATCGTATTCCGAGAAGAGAGGTATATTCAGCGGGACAGAACTTCGGGGATATAACAGTAAACGCGGGTCGGTAGGGTTCAACGCAGCCTGAGCACTATTTTCGTCCGGCCTGGAGCAGAGCAGGTTAAAGCCGACTGCCTTTATCCACCTGTCAGTTGTGGTTCTATTTTTGGTTCCACTGCCGGATTCCTGGTTCCCCTGCGCTATGACAGGGAAAAGCCGTGCGACACGAGTTTCCCGTATCTTTGCTGATTACGATGCCTCACGATATACTAGTTTATACTTTTCCAGGATGACGCTAGATAGGGAAGGCGGTAAATAACTAATTAATGAGTGCAGGGTGGACAAGTAACGGAGACCATTTAGTCATGTTTAGTTTTGTTAAACATCATAGGTCAAGGAATGCGGTATACCTATCCTATCACTCACACCCTTCTGTCAACAATGGCGCATGTGCGACTAACGAGGATAATGTCCGTGGGAAAAGTAAGACTACTTGGACCGATGGGGTAGCTGCGGCGATGGAACGGATACGAATCAAGGGGACGAGGGCACGCGCTCATCTTTGGTGGTCCATGTGTCCATGACTCTCAATGGACCTGCAGACTGGTATAATGGTGGGACTGCTAGCTTTGGTGGGACAGGTGGGACAGTCCTGGGACTGGTGGGCCTGGTGGGACGAATGGGACTGGTGGGACGCGCTCGCCTGTCGTGGGACTGGTGGGACAGTGGGACATAGGGACCGGTGGGACGCGCTCACCTGTGGTGGTGCATGTGATGGTGTTGGTGTCCCTGCTGGCTCTGATGGGACTGGTGGGATTGTTGGGTTCAGTGGGACCGGTGGGGCGCGCTCTGCTCACCTGTGGTGGTGCATGTGCTGCTGCTGGTTCTGATGGCTCTGCTGGCTGTGGTGGTTCTGATGGGACGGGTGGACCTGCTGCAGGCCCGGCGGCCCGGTGCGCCAGCCGGCCGGCACGGACAGGCCGCCCGGCTGCAGCTCCTGGCCGCCGAACTCCTGCCCGCCGCCGGAGGAGGCGCCGCACACCGGAGGGTACCCGCCGTACTCGGCAGAGAGCGGTCCGCCGCCACCTCCACCACCGCGAGACACCTGGGGAGCATAGACAGCCGCGGATTCAGCGAGAGTGGCAGCGGATACAGCTGTGACGAGTTGTATTAATTCTACTCTACCAATAGCTGAAAATGTATCCCGTATTACATCATATACTGAAAGCGATCATATGTAGAGCGTGACGTGTTGAGGAAATAGTGGCTAGCCTATATTTAATAACTGTTCTGACGTAGCTCAATGTTGATGTTCCATTTCTATTACATTAATTTCATGACTGATTGACAGCACTGAATCGCTCGTCAATATATGTACATCGAAATAATGTAAATATTATTGCGAGAAATATCGAATGTAAGCTAGAAAATGTATGAACAAGCATCAGCATCTGAAGCATGAAAACTAGCGAACCATTTTAACAACTTCGCACTCAACTTCCAAGATCAAGTCAAGGAAGACAGTCACCGGCCAACGTTGAATCGCTATACATAATTCCTGGTAACAGAAACATCCTAACAACAACGTTTTAACTTTGTGGAAAATTGCTCAAGTTAAGAAACTCGTTTGTAGGTACTCCCAATCTTACCACATGCCTGTTCGTCTGAGCTTGTGTCTGGTTTACAGGGTTTCACAGCATAAACAGTACGCCAGACGCGATTCAACAAAGCATATCATGATTTTGAGAGATTTGCAGATGTAATCCAGATTTAAGTCGAATGCTACACCTGTTCATTTTTTATTTTCGTCTCATGTGAATCCGGTATAAAACTGGTTAGCCGGCATTCCTCTGCATTTACCAGTAATTGTAGGGTAGCCTGGGGCAAGACGCCCCAGATAATTTATTTTGCTACATAACTTTTGTCCCACATCACCTGGAAGGCCAAATTTGTGCTCAATGCGTTCTTTGGACATTTTACTTTAGATTCCACCCGCCAAATTCATTCACTTATGATCGAACTCCCAGCTAGGAAGTGATTTGTGAAGCAACTGCAAATGGGGCATTTTGCCCCAACCCCAGGGCAAAACGCCCCACGGCCTGGGGCAAGAAGCCCCATACTCTAGATTAAAGATTAAACATGCTGGTTGACTAAATCTTATATGAGAGGCCCGTTAGACCTTGGGAGGCACGGAACTGAAGTTAGCACCTTCCATCCTGTCAGGTGTTCAGCTATGACACTATTGTATGTACAGGTTTTTCACCTGGCTCATAAGGCCAAATAATAAATTATTGCAATACAAATGTTAACAAAATACTTCCTTTGCCATTAATTTGCTGAGAAAAGCACATAAAATTGCATAGAAACTTACTATTCGCCAGTTACCGAACATAAGGAAGTGGGTATTCGGAACAACACATGAGGTAAAACGCCCCATGGGGCTTTTTGCCCCGCGACCTACTGGGGCGTTTTGCCCCATCACGTAGTTCGGTCAGAGAACAACGCCTTGCACTCCAGCAAGAGATAATTTAAAACGGACCAACCCATTATTATAAGCGTTAGACACTAGTTGTTCAAAATACATGAAAGTCGTTAACCTGATGTGGACAATAAAAGAACGCCATGATGCATAATCTGACTGCAAAACATAAAAATCACTCCAAAAACAAATTTTTGGCTATATCTCCCTAAAGAGTTATCACAATTTCTTTCCAGTTTGCTCATATAATGATCATATAGTGCACGTTTTATAGAAGGGACGATGTTTCCACAGAACCTTGCCAGTTCCGAGAAACATCGGTGAGGCGTTTTACCTCGGCGGGGCGACTTGCCCCGGTCTACCCTACCAAAATCACGCCTTCGTTTGCTGATGAAACCAGTACGCAGCTCACGCTTCCGTACCCACAGTTGCTGCTGAATATAAAAAAACTCGTGCATAAGCCCATGAAAACTCACAATTGCAAGCACTTCCCAAGGTAGGTATGGCTCAAATATTTCAAGACCATACTAGCGTAGCTATAACATCGGCCAGCGAGACACTAAAGAATCCTTTTACGGCCACCGTAGCTGCAGTTCAGCGGCTAATACGTACTGCGACGTCCACGGGTGAGGTCTGCCTGGCTCCGGCGAGGGCGGCCTTCAGCTGCGAGCCGTTGGAGCTCACTGGAGGCTCCGGCGGAGTGGAGGTGGACGGGTACGGTACTGGAGAGCTGAGCAGACCTGCGGACGGACGCGCTAGTCAGGCCAGGAGATCGTGACGGACAGCGTCTGATTAATGTGATAAGAGACACCACGTGATGAGATCCAGGTAAAAGTTGTATTCGCGGATTCAGTAGTATTATTTTTAAGCACCAACAATTTCAGAGCTGCAAAAAAATCTTCAGCAACCAGTTGAAAAGACTCCAAGGTCCAACTTCTCTCCAGCCTAGAGTTGAGCCCAGACGGTACCCACAGACCGCAGTCTCGAACTAATCACCCTGTGACGACCCGGGCCGGGGCCCAACTACTCTCCAGCCTAAGAGCTGAGCCCGGACGACAGCTGCAGTCCCTGTCCCCACCACTCACCCTGTGATGACCCGGGCCGAGGGCTGACCGCGTGGTGCTGCATCTGACGGGGACTGAGCGAGTGCTGCTGCAGTGGAGGAGAGGCCGCCTGCAGCAGAGAGCCGTGCCCGTTCTCCGGGGACTGGTACTGTCCGCCGTCCTCCGCGGACGGATAGCCTCCTGCAGGGCTGTCCTCCGTCTGAGGAACAGGGGGATATTATAAGGTCAGAGGGATAACTCGGTAATGGGTGTCCTCCCGCCGGGCTGTCCTCCGTCTGAGGAACAGGGGGCATTATAAGGTCAGAGGGATAACTCGGTAATGGGTGTCCTCCCGCCGGGCTGTCCTCCGTCTGAGGAACAGGGGGCATTATAAGGTCAGAGGGATAACTCGGTAATGGGTGTCCTCCCGCCGGGCTGTCCTCCGTCTGAGGAACGGGGACATTATAAGGTCAGGGGGATAACTCGGTAATGGGTGTCCTCCTGCCGGGCTGTCCTCCGTCTGAGGAACAGGGGGACATTATAAGGTCAGAGGGGTAACTCGGTAATGGGTGTCCTCCTGCCGGGCTGTCCTTCTTCTGAAGAACGGGGGAATACGGTTAGATAAGTCACAGGGAGGAGGAGATATATTCCATTCATCCTTCTCATTTCTAGACTATCATCCACGTCAGTGCAAGTGATGGACGGTTAAATGCGCTGTACGGATAGGCATGTTTCTCTTAGGGCGTAAAGTCAGATTGTGAATGTTGGAGTAGACGGTCTCGTTATCATTGCACGTTACGTACCAACAACCGACCATACAATGATTTGCCGCCTTTTCAATGTCACGAACCATAGGTAACGACTATCTATAATCATGATCTTGTTTGCGCCCACTGCTATGACTGATATGACCTGATATGATTCCTGTGAACTTTCGGCGCTCTTCGGGATTTCCTGACCGCACCATACGGACACGATACGGTCTCGGCAGACCTACCAGCTCCTACACAAGATAGAGCAGCAATGATATCCCGCATTCGTCCGCTCCATCTGGTTTGTTATCCTAAATCAGCCAGACTGCCAGACCTAGTATCAGACTCCACAAATACCCCACAGCCCTATACCAGAAGTTTAGCCACCGATAGAAACATAAACAAACTGATCTCCTGAGCCATGTGGCACGCCTCGTCCAGGCTCATCAGTGGGAGACTGGAGGCAGACGCTCTGGGCAGACGGGCAGGCCTCGGGCCGGCCGGGCGCACGACGAGCCCGCTCATGGCACCCAAGGTCACCAGGCTGCAGGCGTTCCACTAATGTGACGTCATAGGATGAGCGGTGGCCACCAATCAGCGTCAAGACACGGCCCATTTGACGTCATCCACCAAACAGCTGCCAATCAGGCACGTCAAACGACCGCAGTGACGCAGTAAGCATGTGCGGTGGACACTGATGCATGCTGCCGCACTGTCCGACAATGTAGTACGACGTCAATATGGTGACTTATGACGTCATCACGAGCAGTCAGCAGCTGCTGCGCAGATTAACCCAGCTCGGACGGCCGATGACGTCACAGCCGAGCTGGTCAGTCCGGGGGATGGGGTACATACAGGTAGAGAGCGATAGAGGGTCTCTGACGACTTCAATTGGGCTCCACGCGAGGATGAGCGCCTGGGTAAGAACTCTCATGACCGGGCATAGACTAAAAAAGTACTCCCCGCATTATGTAGGCATACCAGTACCTACCTACTGAGTGTGTGTATTCGTCGTAAAAGGCACCAACCTAACCCTACAAATCTGAAAATAGCATATTGGTATAGGTACTCACGATATACCCGTGTCGCTATGAAAAAGAATGCAGACATAAGTTGTTGCATGGCATGTGTCCTGATAACTGTTGTGACAACGACCATTCTGGGGCAGCCTTGCGTTTTTGCTTGTTATTTATCAGTACCTATATCAACTCTCACCAGCAAAAGCAAATGAAAGTCTGAAGCAGGAATGTTGTTCTATTTTCAGTATTTAGAAGACTTATAACGTTGAACGCAGAAGCCGGTACCTACACATCTATTTCGATAGCAACGTTCACTTATTAACGGTTTACAAGAGCCTTAGTTGGTTAAACTCGTTCCTAACTCGTACCTGATGTAATGGTCATAGGTATATCGAGAAAGCATGGGTAATTAATGTGTTTAAACAGAACGTCAACAATATCTGATGTTGAAAAACTGCGTGATCTTAATAAAAGAACAGCATCGGCGTTAATTACATAAAAATGTCATTTGAATGCAGGATGTCTAAATAAAGCTTCCTCTTCGACAGTTCTATGCTGGGCATCCGCTGCGAAATTATTGCTGAATTAATAGCTACCGTCAAAACAGAACTTAAGTTGACTGCCGTCAAGTTTATTACTTGCGTATGAATTACGTCATGCAATTGATGTAATACGAATATCCCGATTTATCCTGTTCTGTTGCATATCCAATTGTGCATTGATATTAATAGTCCAAAAGCTCCGACCTGAACAGCCCTGGCTTTGTTTAGGACAGTCAGGTCAAGACAACCAGCAGGGCAAAGACAAAGTTCCGTCCGGCCCAGACATGACTGGGTAATTCTTGTTTATTTTACATTAGACACGTCAAACATATGCAGCGTCTATTCGACTTGTTTATTCGTAATGTCATGTTAGTCTGATCAGAAGAAGCAATCTGTTCGTCTGTGCTGACTTCCTTTCAAGTTAATGGATTCTTTTATTTAGCCCTTCCTTCCCCCCCCCCCCCCCAGCTCCCCCCGAGGTTGATTTCACATCCAAGCATAAAATCCAAAAGGACTTCTAGAAAAAAAGGACCAAACTTGTGTGTAAGTTCAATCAAGCTGCGCCCCCATATCAATGCCAGTCTCTAATTCATCCTTTTATCTCACCATCTTCACTATTTTATCACCATCTTCACTCCGTCCAATCAGCAGTGACGACCTCAGACCACTGATCTGAGACCATCTCAGATCCTCTCCATCAGCGGCAGGCGTCTCCGCAGCTGGACGCGTCACCGGCAGCGCGGCACACGTCACCGTCACGTCTGTGGTGACACATGCGTCACGGGGAAGTCACCGGCGCGGCCGGAGGTGCCATATCCGCCGTGACGGCCACCTCCGCGAGCCCTCACCGCTGGCGGATGCTGAGTGGGACCGCAGTGAGCAGAAAGGGGAAGATAATGGCGTCAGGCGCCGCGTCGCCAGCGACGCAGACAGGTCGCGTATCGAGAGACACATGAGCTGAGTGGCGAGCAACTGTCGCGGCCGTACCCGTGTTGTGATGCTGAGCTGGTGGAGACTGGGGGACTGTATCTCATGGAGCGATGTGGGGTTGTAATGCTGGCGCGGCTTCCATTGTGATATAGGCGTTCGAGTGGGTTTGATATGTCGAGTGGCATTTTTCCGTGCAAGGTAGCATTGATATGGCTTCGGGCAAAGGTGTGATTGCAAATGAAATGAAAGGGATGTTTTGTTAGACATTTACGAGCATCAAAAGGATAATGATAAGGTTTAAATAAAATATAAAATGCCTCAAAAATGTCATCTCTCCTAAAGTCAGTAACACCATAGTAATTGTCACGGAGCCTGTTCCGCGCCTATTACCTGTTCGTGCACCAAAGGGCACAGCAGCCTCAGCCGGGCCTGAATGTCACCGTCGGAACCCGCATCTGGGTTTAAAACGCCCGCCTGCCACGTGCAGGTGAATCCTCAAAAGATAACAGGTGCTAGGTGTGCAGAGACTGCGCAGCACATCTGCGCAGTACCATTGTTATCTTCACTCGGTGTGAATTCCGTTAGCTGGTCTCACCAAGTGATGGCCAATCACAGTGATGTCATCGATAATAAGGCGAAACAAGTTGGGCTCATCAATAAAAAAGTGACGCAAAGAACTAACTAGGATCGCGATTGCGGATAATCGCTGTAGCTGGTCTTAGCATCCAGTCAAGTCGCAAGCGTGATCACTATCTGCCACTCTTAAATCACGCTTCCTTGGAACGGGACAAACACTCCCACGCAATTCGGCTTGAACAGTGACCGACGGTGGAGTGAGTTTCCTTCACTCACGACCTGTGCAATGCGCAGCAGAGTTGCTGTACTAGCTCTGCTAACAATTATGGAGTCCCACTTCGATTTGCATGATCTCAGGCCATGTTTCATCCGTCCTCTCTCGCGCAGAGCGCGGGGAGAGAGCTCTTGCATCACTCGTCGACCGTCGAGAGGTATATTGGCCGCCGGAATGAACATCAGAGTTCGACTTATCAGTCGCACTCGGTCGCAGTCTCAGTCCTATTCATTCGTGGCATCAGTCGCATTCAGTCGTAATATCAGTCACATTCAGTCTGGACGGTCAGACAGCTCGTCAGCTGCAGGCGTTCCCACAGAGCCGACTCCATCAGCCGTGCGCCCAACAGCCCCACTGTGTGTATATTTGTACGGCCTCCCCCAGCGAGATGGTATAGGTCAGCTAATCTGACTATTTATAATTCCGAATGCAGCAGGCTCGTGCTGAAATGACTTTCCAGAAGTACAAATGAGGAATGTAGGGAATCAGTACAGATGCATCCCCTACATCTCATTGCATCTCTACATCTCATTGCAACTTCTGAGACTTCAGCTAACTGATTTTTCCAGCCTGTCAAACTCCGTTCACCACCCAATAAAGCTAGGTTCCCACTGACTGTGACTGTCCCCTCGCTCTTACACTGTTGAGGTTGGGACGCATCAGGCGTAGGAAGTTAGTTCACCACCCAATAAAGCTAGGTTCCCACTGACTGTGTCCCCTCGCTCTTACACTGTTGAGGTCGGGACGCATCAGGCGTAGGAAGTTAGTTCACCAATAAAGCTAGGTTCCCACCGACTGCGTCCCCCGTGATCTCACCCTGTTGAGGCCGGGGTGCATCAGGCGCTGGTAGTGGTTGTACTTGGCCGCTGGCGGCTCCTGCTGCACCGGAGCCGGAAAGTCCTCCGGCTCCGGACTGTCGGCGCCCGCCAGACCGTCGTTCTTGTGCTCCTTCTTGCTCAGCGCCTGCCGACAAACGTCAGGGAGAGGTTAAAGAATACAATGCAGGTAAAGACTCTCGGAAATGTCACAAGCGACAGAAGGTTTCAAACCTCCACAGTATAAATACTCTGTACCTAATCCATGAGGAAGAAAAACTGATCCAAAAATATATTCATGAGAGAAAATATGTTTTCAAGTTTGGAAATCTACGAAAACTTGGTCAGTCCAAGTAATTTCTGTTTGCGAGGTTCCTGGTTGATCATTTAATATGGCACCCGGCGTCTGCGAAGAGATTCGGTATCGGACGCATAATAGTTTCTTTGTTCTACCAAACAATATACCTAATTAGAAAGTGTGATTGACACTAGATCCCGATTCAACGGTCGCCATCCCATCCAGCATCTAGCATCAACAGTAGGTATCAACTTTTCCACTCAGTTATATAACGGCCGGCAGTGCTGCTGCCATCCCGTCTGCCAAGGGCCCCATCGGCAGCGGCCGGTGGCTGTGTCAAACGGCCCCGGCCCGGTCCTTGTCAGGTCGTGCTTGTCAGCTGCATGCAGCGCCGTGTGAGGCAGGGCCCGGAGGTCGGACAGGCGTGGGCGGAGCCCAGCGACCTTTGGTCGGCGCTCGCTGTTGCCATATGCGAGACGGCTTCCGATGACAGCCGCATGTATTTACAGACAGAGCCGATGCCATGCACTGGCTCTACTTAAAATAGAGCAAGTCGTTCGGGTCAGTGAGGAGAAAATGGTGCATGATTGAGGCCAGGCTGCAGGCAGTCAATGTTTATTCATAGTTGAAGAGAGCATATATAATCCATGAAGTTATTTGCGGACTTGAAAATTAAATAGAATAATTCAGAATATAGATATGACCTATAGAGTGCAGTGGAAATGGCGTATATGTACTGAATTGAGAGCCGTCTCCACTCTCCAGCTTCAGCGAAGCAACCGGCTACTAACAAGAAAAAAAAACAATTTCATATTTTCATTTTTGAGTGTTTTTAAACACATCATACTCGCATAATACGTTTAATTTCAAATATGAATATGTCTGAAGTTGTCAACGGTACACGATCGACAACAGTCACCATTTCGGCAGCCACGCCACCACGAAAACGGCACGTAAATGTCAGCAACGTCAGCCGAATGTTCCTAGAACCGACAGAATCAACTCACAAGCTGGTCCATCGCCGTGGTAGGTATTTTATTTATTGCTGGATGTTGTGTTCATATTTCATCTGGCATTACCGGCGAATGGTAGGTGGTACTGATGGCCAAACGGCTAAGCTTATTGTCAAACAGGCACCAGGCGGTTGGTTCTAATGGCATGTGCCGAAAGAGGTCCTGTCTGTCATCTGGGTAATAAATGTAATTAGCCAGTGAATGTGATGGCCGCATAAAATGGCATGGGGCCTTAATTCAGAAAGAAGCAAAGGTGAAGAAACGAATTATCTTTTACCGACATCGGTGTCATAGCGTATACTTATAATATGTTGACAAAACATGTCATTCGCTGGTGCAATGGCATTGCACGAAGCATCAACAAGTCTTAAATGCCTACCTTTGCGGGCACTCCACTAGCCCAGCTTCATGTCACTTATTTTTGTCTATATAAAGGAATAAGGATGTACTACGCAGTGCGTAAACCACCTCTAGGTGTCTCTGATGAGATACTTCGTGATGAGTTTTGTGATAAGGTTTTGACGAGACTTGCCTTTCCCATCACGGAAGTTCAGAACATATGCTTATGTTCTGTGATGTGAAATTGATGTGTGATGTGCAATTTCGCTATGTTGCGTTATGATTTGCATAACGAAATACAATGCAGTGTATTTAGGTATTAATTTAGCAGCTGAAGTATCAACTGCTTTGATAACTGCTACCATATTATCACCGTGTCTACTGTCAATACTAAAACCTTCTCAAAAGAATCCATTCATTGCTGCTCAGCACGCACAAGTCACACTCACAGGCCGTATATCGTCGAATGGACCGCTTGAACCAGGTCGATCACGTGCGGCATCAATAAAATCTGTTCAGTTTGTCATATAAGATGTTTGAAACATAAATGAAGAAACTGTGTCATATTAAGATATTTGAATCGATATCCTGACGCCGGACAATTTCGGATCCCTAACGTCCAAAGCATCTATAAAAGCAGCGTCCCCTGCGCCCAATTGCTACGACCTCCTTGAGGCCGCGTGTATTGTGCATTCTGCGCGGACATTGAACACGACACGCTCGGCGTTTTTTCATAGTTTCAATTGCAACTGCCAATCTAGATACATTATTAAACAAAGTAATGATTGTACTTACAATGCATAATCTAGCTCCTGGATCATGTGCATCCATGTTCGGCGTGGCATACCAAGTTTCCTTTTACAACCACCCGTGACTTGTCAGTTACCTCCTAACAGCACTGGTCTGTTGACCGCCGGACTTAATATAGATATTAATTGGTTTGCGTGTGCGGAGGTTTCAGTTATGTAAGGACAATTCTAGCAACACAACAGGTAAACCAACGTTTGCTGATTGAGGAAAATAATATGATCTTGCGTTCGTCTTTCAGCCCAGTGTCATTGCCGACTTTGGCTGCTGAATTTACCATCGCGTTTTGGTAACGTTGAAAACAGCTCCACGTTGTAATTGCTGATGTTAAATATTACCCAGAAATTATGGGAGGCCGTCTGAGGCATTTCATATTCCGCACACATGCAATTTTGCTAATTTCCCTAATTTTGCTACTTACCGGGGAGTAACCGGGCGCTAGCACCGGTTGTCATGAATCATAGCAGGGAGCTGTGGCGACCGCCATTACCGAGAGTAACACCCTCCGCTCATAATGGCATCCGAGTGACGGCGAAAGCCGGCGACTCTGATCCGGTTGCTGTTCAAACCGCTGCACAGCACTTCATGTCATCGGGTCCGTCCGTCCGTCCGTCCGTCCGTCCGTCTGTCCGTCTGTCCGACTGTCCGTCTGTCTGTCTGTCTGTCTGTCTGTCTGTCTGTCTGTCTGTATGTATGTATGTATGTATTATGTATGTATCTTTCAATATCCTACAAAAAGTAACTTTTTTAGGTGCGTTGAATCGGTCTCAGTTAGAGATTTAACCCAACTATTTCTGGTTGGAGGGATAACCAGCTGCCCAGTCGCTGCAGGAATTCGGTGTCGAAATGCCCCCACTAACGCCCACTGGCGCAGTATTTGATGCTTTGGTGGAGTCTGTGGTCCGATGTTGAGTTCTAAATATTCAGTAATTATATATGGTTCATTTGTTTCCCTGCTAAATGTTAAAAGTTTTTCCCAATTGCTAACAGATTGTTTTAATTTGTTCTTAGTCAAGGCAGCTGCTGCCTGCTATACACGGTAAATTACTCATATTTTGAAAACGCCCGGCATTAGTACTCCAATGGTTTGACCAGTGACCATCCTATCACTGCATATGTGTTATGCCGGGCCGGCCGTCGACTCCATTTCACGTTTTGCAGACTTATCCCGGTTCGGTCTGCGCTCACGCGCTCACTGGCGGCCGAGCTGTCGACCTGTGACGCAATTCCGACTGTATAGCCGACAGTGCAGCTGACCGCTCTGTGCAGGCTCAGCCCGCTCGACTGCAACGGGTCTCTGCCATAACTGGTCGCCATCCGCACGGCGCTGCGCGGCGCGGGGGCACGTGATTCGCGCGTGGGGAGGGGCGGGGAGGGCCGGGGGGCCGACGACGGCCCGACGACGACCGCCGGCAAGGCCGACAGTCTGACACGGGCTCAGCTGAACAGGAGTGATAGGTCAGCCTCAGGGGCTGCCGGCCGGCCGACCGACGAGCGCCGAGCACCGGGCGGTGTTGCGGAGAGAAACAGAAGGTCGCGCAGATCGGGTTATCCATCGAAGGCCCGTGGCTGCACAACTCGTGAGGTTTTGTACCACCGTCCAGGCGCATCCGATCGCAGGATCGTTCTTGCGATCTCAGCATCCTCGGATGTATCCTCGTTTCGGCATATTGGTTTCAAAGATAAAAAGCATGTTTATATCTTACGATCGTATGTCCAAGCATTTCGAATGCATGGTGGCCTGCATTGAATCCGGCTGGACCCTGCCAGTACATACTTTATAATTGAATATTTGCCTTAACGGCATTCCAATTCCTGATTTAATGACCGGCATAAAACATGGAATTGGCCCTTATTGGTTTCAAGTTTCTCATGAATCAGTCAATGAGGCTATGAAGATATGTCGCATGCATGACACATTCTATCCTTGGAGTATTTACTATTTTAACGTCCACTGAGCTGAAAGTGAGAACTGCAATGAAAACTTAGCATAGTCGACACTTTTTACTGTTGCATCCTGCCAAATATAATTCTCACCACTTAGTGCCGCAGCTGAGCTTCAAAAAAATAGCCGTTGGGAAAGCCAAAAGCGGCATGGGGCATGTCGACTAATCAGTGGCGGATCCAGGGGAGGGCAAAATGGGCATTTGCCCTCCCCATAGCCAAATCGTGTAGGCAAGACTATCTTTTTGCCCCTCCCAAAGCATGTAGCGATGAGAAAATCTAATTCGGCGTCGATGCCGATATGGACGAAAACCAGGGCTTCTTTCCTTGACGGCCATTCCGAAGGAAGGAGCTAACAACTGGCTGCTGATATTTTGGGTCGGTATGCTGATAATACATAGATGGAACTCCCTGAACTGAATGCATGCATATGCATTATGCAGTGTGGCCATGGTGTGGGGTAACACGGGGCAAGATGCCCAGTCGGGTAAGACGCCCACCACCCTTTTCGAAACTAACTACCTAAGCAATCCACAGTTTTGTCGTTTGTTGGGAGCCTCAGCGCTGTGGAGCGTTCCGCGTAAAAAAAAACGGCGGCGTTCCGAGCCGCCGTAATCTACATTTTTTTTCATGTGTTCTGAAAATTTCAGACCAAGGTCTCTCAAGGTCACGAAGTCACTAAGTCACGTCAAGTGACATAACCTAAAACCAGTTCCAACCACCCTTGTGGCGCAGTTGGCAAGTGCG